GGGATTCTGAGGAGCTGCGGGGCCTCTGCCCAGTCCTCTCTCCTGACCAGCCAGGAGAAACCACTGTCCAGACTGGTAATGACCTCTCTGTCCTTGCTGACACTGATCTATGCTCTGAGCTCAGCCCCTCTGCTCTAAAGCAGCCTGGTGTCAGAGCGCTAACACAGTTTAAATAGTGGGGTCTCTAATAAACTTCCACAGATCCCTGTATAATGGACCCATCCCCTTCTGTTTAGGCCTTTTAAGAAACACCCACCCTTTCTCCTTAGTTCCTCCACCCCATGCATTTACTGGACTGAGATTTCTTAGAAAAATATCATGCTGGAATTTCTCCAAAAGTGGGAAATAATTCTAGAATTTGACAGTAGTAATCAAAATAGCCAACCAGGCAAATTAAATTAGACTTTGAAACGTTTTCATTCACTCCATTCCTGGCAGCCCTGTAGATGAGTCTGGGGACACTATCATTGCTCCTATTGGATCTGTAACTACCCTTCTTATGGGCAAAGTTGTAAACTGATATTGGCAGAAGACACCGTGCCTATCTCACTTGTCCCACCATCCAAAACACAATCCAAGGAAACCGTTTTACATGCTCCCGTGGCCATTCAAGTTTGGCAAACCAATTTCAGACAGCTTCCCCATCCCACAGACAAATACGCGTCAGTCATGGCTTTTATGTTTTTTCACTGGACTGAGGCTTTCCCTGATAGACAGGCCAGTGCTGCTTCTGTGGATCAAGTTCCGTTAGAAAGGACCGGCGCCACCTGCGGATCCCTGTGAAACTCCACAGAGGTCAGGGAGCCCACATATCAGTCAGGTGCTTCGACCAGCCTGTGCCATCTGGCTGGTTTTACCCTCTCCTTGTGCAGGCCAACCTGGGTCCTCAGGGCCAGCCATATGCTCTAACAGCACTATTAAGACTCAGTTGGCAAATTTGTAGAGACCCCCCACCCCCACCAAGTACCTTGCTCAAAAGCATTGCTGTCGGTCCTACTAAATCTCAGATCCACCCTTCTGGGACGCATAGACTCTCACCCCTTGAGATGTCACAGGACTCCCAGTATGCGTGGCCCTGCCTCCTAGACCCACAGCTCAGGCTCTCTGGCCTTAGGGAAAAGCCCTCATCAGGAAGCATTAGCTACCCCTTGTGCCGACAAACTGCAGGGAACAGACTCTCGGATTCACGTCACACATCTAATAAAGCACCTGACCGCCCTGCACTCCATCTGGTGGCCTGAAAATAAAGATCTCCCAGGACCAGAGCAAATGACACCTGGTGAGGCAGCTCTCCTGAGACCTCAGGGCCTGGCCTGCATCCCGTTTGCTTCCATCTCTTTCATGGACAGAAAATACCCTCATCTGAATTTCCCAAACCCTTACAAAAGGGGAAGCCTCTTCTTGTGGCTATGGCGTTTTGGAAACAGTCTTTCCATGATGCTGTGAGCCTTTTCTGAAATGTTACACGTTTCAGAATTCACAGAAGTCTGTCTTTCATTTGAACTATTAACTGAATTCGGCTCTGCATTTGCAACTGTACAGGCTGTATTAACTGATAACAATTGGTCCGAAACAGTTCTCTGAGATAACAATACTGTTTGAAAATGTAAAATACCCATCCTCCTTAAAGTTTTCCATAAAGGAAAAGAGGAGGGAATACTCCCAAACTCATTCTACGAGGCCAGCATCACTCTAATACCAAAACCAGGCAAAGACACCACAAAAAAAGAAAATCACAAACCAATATCTCTAATGAACATAGATGCAAAAATACTCAACAAAATATTAGCAAACCGAATTCAAAAATACATAAAAAAGATCATCCACCATGATCAAGTGGGATTCATCTCAGGGATGCAAGGATGGTACAACATTCAAAACCCATCAACATCATCCACCACATCAACAAAAAGAACAAAAACCACATGATCATTTCCATTGATACTAAAAAGCATTTCACAAAATTCAACATACATTCATGATAAAAACTCTCAACAAAATGGGTATAGAGGGCAAGTACCTCAACATAATAAAGGCCATATATGACAAACCCACAGCCAACATTATACTTAACAGTGAGAAGCTGAAAGCCTTTCCTTTAAGATCAGGAACAAGACAAGGATGCCCACTCTCCCCACTTCTATTCAACACAGTACTGGAGGTCCTTGCCACAGCAATCAGACAACACAAAGAAATAAAAGGCATCCAGATTGGTAAAGAAGAAGTCAAACTGTCCCTGTCTGCAGATGACATGATACTGTACATAAAAAACCCTAAAGAATCCACTCCAAAACTACTAGATCTAATATCTGAATTCAGCAAAGTTGCAAGATACAAAATTAATACACAAAAATCTGTTGCATTCCTATACACTAATGATTAACTAGCAGAAAGAGAAATCAGGAAAACAATTCCATTCACAACTGCATCAAAAAGAATAAAATACTTAGGAATAAACCTAACTAAGGAAGTGAAAGACTTATACTCTGAAAACTACAAGACATTTTCATGAGAGAAATTAAAGAAGAAACCAATAAATGGAAACACATCCCATGCTCATGGTTAGGAAGAATTAATATTGTCAAAATGGCCATCCTGCCTAAAGCAATCTATAGATTCAATGCAATCCCTATCAAAATACCAACAGCATTCTTCAATGAACTGGAACAAATAGTTCTAAAATTCATATGGAATGACAAAAGACCCCAAATAGCCAAAGCAATCCTGAGAAGGAAGAATAAAGCTGGGGGGGATCTCGCTTCCCAACTTCAAGATCTACTACAAAGCCACAGTAATCAAGACAATATGGTACTGGCAAAGGAACAGACCCATACACCAATGGAACAGACTTAAGAGCCCAGATATTAAACCCAAGCATACATGGTCAATTAATATATGATAAAGGAGCCATGGACATACAATGGGGAAATGACAGCCTCTTCAACAGCTGGTGTTGGCAAAACTGGACAGCTACATGCAAGAGAATGAAACTGCATCACTGTCTAATGCCATACACAAAAGTAAACTCCAAATGGATCAAAGACCTGAATGTAAGTCATGAAACCATAAAACTCTTAGAAAAAAACATAGGCAAAAATCTCTTGGACATAAACATGAGCAACTTCTTCATGAACATATCTCCCTGGGCAAGGAAAACAAAAGCAAAAATGAACAAGTGGGACTATATCAGACTAAAAAGCTTCTGTATAGCAAAGGACACCATCAGTAGAACGAAAAGATACCCTACAGTATGGGAGAATATATTCATAAATGACAGATCCGATAAAGGGTTGACATCCAAATTATATAAAGAGCTCACGCGCCTCAACAAACAAAAAGCAAATAAGCCAATTAAAAAATGGGCAGAGGATATTAACAGACACTTCTCCAAACAAGAAATTCAGATGGACAACAGGCACATGAAAAAATGCTCCAAAAAAAAATGTAAAACACAAGCATTTATGTTGCAAAACGTAAATCATCAGCGGCCGCTCTGTGTCCGCCTGCACAGCATATCCCCAAAGGCCGTGGGTCCTGTCTCAGTGGGCCTCAGAGCTCAGGGCCTGCTTTTGTGGCTCCCTTAGGCAGGGACTTCAGGAGCATACGTGACTCCAGGTGTACCCCATGGGGGGTACTGCCCTGCCCTCAGCTGGGGTAAATGCTGATAAATATTTTTAGCTCCTCCTTTCAGACCTCGGTTCCATCACAGAATTTGGAATGTCATATTCCTTCTGATTCTGTAATGTCGCCCTGCTGAAGCTCTGGAAAGACACACGCCCATTAGAGGGTGACCCCCGGCGCTCAGGATCCTGAAGGAGGGCCCTGTAGCTCCCCGAGACCCCCTACTGAAGTAGATCTCCATCTGTACAATTTCCCTCCCATGTGGGGCATGACTCCCAGGAAAGGTTCTTCCTGGCACCGAGGGGCAAAAGGCCCCTGAATTAAACCTGACTGTTGATCAGTGAGTCTTTCAAAGAGAAATCTTAATCAAAAGGGGGGCATGTGAAAATTAATAAAGGAAACCCCACTAAAGTAGAGTCAGGAGGCCAGAAGGGGGCGCCAAATCCCTCCAGGTCAACCACAGGCAGGGATGATAACTCACAGGCCCCAACAGGAAGAAAGAGGGTCAGGCTTCTCTGTGGAGCCCCCAAGCCCCACAGCAGTCTGGGCTCTGGGCAGATGGAGGCGCACATCTGCAGGTCAAGGCTTGCACAGTGCAGGCTGGACTGGGCATGCACTGAGCGGCAGCAGTCATCCCACCAGTGGGCCTCGTTGGCCTAATTCTGGCTGCCCAGAGGGGCCTGCCTTGGCTGAGGCCACAGAAGTGACACCATGTGCACCCCAAACCCACATGGACAGTCCCGCGTGAGTGTCCCCAACCTCATGGTGGACAGGAATTCTCAAGCTCTTCCCAGAAGCAGGAGCACTGGCCCAGGGTTGGATGTAGGAGGGACTGAGGGGCCAGCACGTACCAGTGCCAGCTCCACCTGTCCTGGTATGGAAGACACGTGGACCAGGGTGGCAAGCTGTCATGGCACAGAGACAGCTCCTGACCAAGCCTCTGTCCTGGCCATGACATCAGCCGTCTGGGGACGCCCAGGGCTGGAGAGGGCTCCTCGGGTGACCTGCACTCAACTCAGCCTGGCCTCAGAAACCCCAGGACTGACTGGAGGGGGCTATGCCCTGCCTGGATGCAGGTGACGTTTAGGGCCCCAACCTGGGCCCCGGGGGCAGCACAGGCCTGCACTGGGTGGCCAGGTCAAGGCTGAACCCCCTCCCCACTCTGGCTTCTCACTCACTGCTCCTGCTCCAGCTCAGTCTAGCACACCAGCAGGAGACGCCCAGCCCACCCTGTGCATGCCCCTGTCCTGTGGATCTGTGGCCTGGACCCTCGATGGGGCCATGCCGCTGATCAGGTGGGCACCAGGAAGCCCCAGCCAGGATCCCCCAAGGAAGGGGCTTGCAGCTGAGACTGGCAGGTGAGCGGAGATGGGGCTCACCTGGGAGCGGACAGGGAGGCCTAAGCCCCGCTTGTCGGAAACAATGAGGGTGATGATGGTCTTGAGAGCGGTGGCCAGGAATGTGTTGACTCCGAAGACCAGGGCACAGAGCTCTTTAGAAAGAGAAGATGCGATCTGGAAACTTAATGGAAAGCAGGCCAGATCAGACTCAGCCAGAGGACAAGAAGCACCCACAAAGGCAAAGGGGAAACCCGCTCTGAGCGGCCACTCCCCAGGCAGCCAGCAGCCACCAGCGACCCTCATGTGGCCCGAGGAGTGGCCAAGCCCATGGGAGACGGGCCCCACCACTCCCCCAAAAACGACTCATAATGTGGATTCAAAACGAAGAGCCAAATGCAACCTGGGGACATTTAAAAAATCTCCCAGTGACTTGGGGACCACGAACGCAGTACCACAGTGAATCCTCACAAAATCAACCCTCGCAAGAATGAGCAGAGCATCATAAGCAAAATCCCATATTCAAGTTGCTTATCATTAAACAATTCAACAAACTGGGGAAAGAATGGTGAAGAAACCAGGAAAGCAGGGGGAACTCATGTTTAGGGCTCCCGGTCCTCTGCCATGAAGTTAACATCCGAATATCCTTCCATTTAGAACACCCAAAGTGCCCTTAAAAATAAATAACAACTGGACAATTAACAGCCTTAAGTTCTGAAGAACAGACAAACAAAAATACCCAAGAAGCCTTTAAAGGGCAAGACAGAGAGGCCTAGGGGCTCTGCCACACTGGGGTGGGAGGAGCCAGGAATGCACGGGCAGCCACACGGCAGGGAGAGGAAGGGGCTGGGCACCAGCTCAGCTACTGGGGGGGCCAGAGCTCCCAGCACAGGCTGGGCACCACGCCGTCCACACGTCTCGGTGGCATGTCCTGAAGTCACTAAGTGGGGCTGAAGGTGAGGCACAGGGGCAGCATGAGAAAAGGCCCTTGTCACATACCACAGATGTCAGTGCACTGCAGGTAAGTCAGGAAGAGGGATCCCATCAGAAAGGGGCCATAGGTATGAACTGGCCACTGACATCCCGCAGGAGGCACAGCATTGTCATCAAGGGGTGGGGGCGGGCCCATGGGCCCCTCCACCCCCAACAGGGGCCATGCTTGCCCACCTGGTATCTGCCGACACCCCCTTCCTAAAGCACATGCCCTTTGACCTGGGCAGTCCCCTTCCAGGGTCCATCTGATAATTTTGCAAATTATCAGAATTTGTAAAGATGTAGCTGAGAGCTAGTGGCCCCAGGGCTGTCACAGAACACCGGGGACAGCACTCCCACCAGCTGGGGACCAGCCGTGTGGCCTGTCAGTCATCGCCAAGGGAACCCATGGTGTCTGCATTTCCGACAGACCCACAGGGCTCTGCAAGGAGCCAGGACACGGAGCCACATGGCATAGTTCACATTAGGCCAGAGAGGACGCCCCACACCCGGGACCTGGCCCGCTCTGCAGCTGCGCTTCTGGTCTCACAGTTAAGCATCCAAGTGCCCTCGGAACAGATGCAGTGAGCACAGCAGGTGCCCACAGGGACAGGGCACAAGCGTCTGGCCACAGCACATGCTTGTTGGACGTGGAGAGGCTGAGAGGGCTGGAGGGCAGGGCAGTGCGGAGGACACGTGTCCACGCTGTGGGGAAGGCAGCCCGGCCACAAGGTCAGAAAGGGTGTCTTAGTGAAAACCATCTCGTGGGGCCAGCGGTGAGCCAGGCATCTGGCAGCACTCGGCCTTCAGGACAGGAGGGGAAGGGCCGCAGTCAGACCTCCCCCAGGGTGCGTGCGGGCTCAAAGCAGAGAAGCAAGTAGGTGTGGGAGCTCTGTGAGGGGCCGTGGGGGTCAGCCACCATGCCACAGGGATTGGCAGAGCAGCAGGAGGCTGGGGTCACGGAGCCAGCTCAAGACGTGGTGGAGACAGAAGTTCTGATGTGGGCACGACGGGAAGGCCAGGCCTGGAGGTGCCCCAGAGGGGTGACGGGCCCACACTGGGTGTGCACACAGGGCAGTAGGCTCCCTCGTGTGGTGTGAACACACAGGGCATGATAGGGCGCAGTGTGCATGTCCCACTTTCTGAAAAGTTGGTTCCAGGGTTGCACAGAGGGTCCTAGGTAGGGACCCCAGGGGTGTGAGGGACATGAGGGCATCAGGAAAGCTCTGGGAAGAGGGTGAGCTGGGACACTTGGTCATTCCTTGCCAACGGGCAGCCATGCCCAACTGTGGGAGGAGAGGACCAGAGAGGCCTCGGGGCACCCCACATGGGGCCACAGAGTTCTCAGGCTCGGACACCCCAGAGAGAATCACAGCAGTGTCCAAGCCTTGGAAACAGGCAGGGGACCTAGAGAATTTCATGAGGGCCAGTCCCTATGGACACCAAGCAGCCTCACAGGACTGGGCAGGGCACCCAAGGAAGCGCTACCCAGGGGCCGGCTCCTTGCTGTGGGTGGTGGGGCAGATCGGGTCCCTGATCAAGGGCGTGCAGGGCTCATCTGCAAACGGCAACCACCACCAGACCTCTCTGGGCCGCCCAGCACACGCCCTCTGCCCCCCACTAGTCTGCGCCCTCAGGCTTCCACCCTGCTGGCCGACTCACGTGGCAATGGGCACCAGGAACTGGTAGGAGCCACGGAAGAGCATGAAGGTGATGTAGCACAGCCAGATGTTGTTCGTGCTGTACATGAGGAAGACCAGCACAGCCTGCACCGCCGTCACACCCGCGATGACCAGCTCGGCCCACAGGGCCCAGCGGATGTTCACGAAGCCCGCGGCAAAGGAGGTGATGGCACCTGGGGGACGGCCACCAGCACGTTCTGGGACTGGGAGGCAGGGCGGGACGTGGGGGCAGAGGGACATGGCACGCTGGAGGTGGGGGCGGGGCACACAGGGGGGGCCAAGGAGGGGTGCGAGGGCACTGGACATTCTGTGCGGGGTGCAGGCGCGGCGTGGGAGGCAGGGGCCGGGGCGGGATGTACCCAGCTGGATGGAGGCAGCGGATAGGGTGGGTGGGTGGCGGGGGAGCGCACAGGGCATGACGTACTGAGCAGGGTGGAGGCAGCGTCGGCCCCGCCGTTGTAGACCGCAGTGGTGTCCTCAGTGGGGTTGACCACATTCCACAGGATGTGCACATAGTAGACGATGAGGTAGTAGCCCACGGAGCTGAAGACCCACCACAGGGACCAGAGGCGTAGCTGCGGCCGCCGCAGGCTGTGCACCAGCTCCCTCAACATGCGCACAAGCACCAAGTCCCACATGGCCACCCGCAGCGCCGCAACCCGCTTCCCACCAGCACGCAGGCCAGGGAGCGGGTTCATTCGGTCCAGCTCGGAGGGCGAGGCAGCACCGGGCCTGCCCGCACTATTGTTGAAGAAGAGGCTGCGCTTCGGGCACCTGAGGAAGAGGGCCAGGACCAGGCTGAAGGTGAGGAAGGCCAGCGAGATGTAGTTGAGCTTGGTGAAGGAGCACCCAGCCACCGAGAGCAGCAGCTGGCCCAGCACCCCACTGGTGAAGACGCCCAGCAGCACGGCCGCACGCGAGCAGCTGGCCATGCGCTGGTAGTGGGCGGGCCGCACCAGCACGAAAATGTAGGAGGAGTAGGCGATGCGGGCGGCCATGGTGATGCTGTAGACGAGCTCCATGAACTGCATGTGCAGCACCGTGGAGCCCCATAGGAGCAGCAGCCACACGGAGATGTAGCTCAGGCCCTGCAGCACGAGCACTGGCTTGTAGCGCAGGTAGTCGGTGAGCAGGAAGACGGGCACCAGCGTAGCCAGGTAGGAGTAGGACAGCACTGGTGTGATCTCGTTGGTGACCTGCAGGACAGCAGGCTGTGACCCCCACAGGCCCCATCGGAATCGCCTCGCCGGGGCAGCTGACCCCAAGCTGTGCTCTGCCCCAGCGCCACCCCACAGTGTGCTTTTCACACAGCAGCGTGCCTGGACTCCTGTGGTGAAGCCGTGGGAAGATCCATTCATGACAGGCTCGTCTAGGCTCTGTTTTTAATGACATGAGAACATGATTCGGTTCCTGCCTAAAGCTAACGATGTGGAAAATGGAGCTGTGGCCAGTTTCACTTCGCTGCACCCTGCCTCCCTCTGGGGAGGGGGGAAAGGAGGTATGGAGAGACAGCTGACAGACCAGTTCCCATGGTGTGGGGGAAGCCGGGAGGGAAGGCATGGAAAGGCCGGGCACCCTGCCCTCGCCCCCGGGTCCCCAGTGCAGGGACACCAAACGGAACCCCCCGCCCATCCTCTGCGCCATCCCCCCCAGGGGCACTGGGCCACAGGCCCCCACCACCTGCCTCAGGCAGACCTGGCGGGCTCGTCCAGTGGGAGCCAGAACCCCTGGCCCTTGCTGGGCACTGTGCTCCCCAAGGTTGAAGACCCGCTCAGGGTGACAGCCAGTGTCCCACTGGCTGCCCGGCTTACCTCGGGAGGCAGCCCCGGCCCCGAGAGCCCAGGTCTCTGGCCCACCCACCTCCCAGGGCAGACAGGGGACCCCGCGGTGGTAGCCTCTCCCAAGGCCCTGGTGGGTTTCAGTGGGCAGCCCCTCAGTGGGGTCCCGGATGTGACTCAGACCCACCAGCACAGGCACTGGCCGAGCTCCGGCCTTGATGGGCACTAACCCAGACTCGGGCCTGCCCGCCTGCTAACATGCAGTGCTCCTCACCAGCCGGTCCAGGCACCTCTCAGCCCTGTGATGCACACTGTCACCAGGGCCCCACTTTGCAGGTGGAAATGCAGGGCTGAGTCCAGCCCTGGGTCGGCACACGGAGCCACGTCGAGCTGGCCACTCACCTCTGCCGGGAGGCTGGGTGGGCCCACACACCTCCGCAGGCTCGCCCCGTGCCTGCAGCCCTCACAACTAACCCCCTAGGACTCACAGGGACACTCTCAGTGCTCATCGGTTCCCAGGGGTTGCTGAGTAACCTGCACATGTTCACTGATAGCCATGGGGGCTCATGTTTATGGAAAATTCTGGGAACATCAAAAGCCCTGCTTGATGAGATCTCTTGGCACATGGCTTGCTCAGCTGGAGGGGCTCACCAGTCAGAGCCTGAGTCGAGGGGTCACAGCCTGGGGAAAACCAGCTGGCCCTGCCCTTCCCTGCTTCCTCCTCAGCATCCCTGCCCTGCTCTCCTAGGGCTTGGCAGACCAGCAGGCGCCAGAGGAGACTGACCCACCACATGTGGAAGGTGCAGGGGGAGTGGGTGCCCACAAAGCCTGAGGCAAGCAGCATCTGTCATGCAGCCCAGCACTGGCACGAGAACAGCTCCACCCAGACCCAGTCCCACCACATCTGTGTGCCCATGGAGCTGGGGCTATGCCCACTTCTAGATTCAGCTGGCTTCACTGAAGGGGCAGGCCCAGCCAGGCCCCAAGGCAGCCAGGACATGCTGGGATGGGGCCAGGGCAGTAGGGCTGGCAGGAGGGACCAGAGGGGTGGGGAGCAGGAAAGGGCCAGGCAGGCCACAGGTAACACTAAATCTAAGAGGAGGCATTGAGGGGCCACACCTGGATAGGTGCTTAGCCCAGCCAGACGAGAGGACAAGGACGGCCAGGACCGTCCTGGAGGCTGCCCGGTGATCCCACCAGTGACAGGCAATGGGTGTAGGCAGGGGCTCCTGTGGGGTGGGGGCTGCAGGCCTCATCCAGCAGCTCAGATGCAAAGCAAGCCCCTGCCCCTCCCAAAGGCACTTCACGAACCAGAGCAGGGAGGGCACACAGGGTGCCTTCTCCCCACAAAGCACGTCTGGCTAGACTAAACTGAAACTGCAGCATGAAAGGACACCAGGTGCAAAGTGAGATGGCCAGCCACACCTGGGAAGAACCTGCCATGCCGGCAGGCAGAGCCACAAGCACGGGAATCCACCTGGCTGCAAGAAGCCAGCCCTGAGGACAAGGGAAGCTGGCCAGGCAGGCAGACACCAAGGAGACGTAGATCCTGCAGAAGGCACCTCCACGCCCATCAGATGGGCAGAGACTCAGCAGTGCTGCTCAGGTGTTGTTGGCAAGAGGGATATCAGAGGCAGGCATGCAAAGGGACGTAGAAGACCAGCCCTGGGCCCCCACGGACAGCTGCCCCCAGCCAGCATGGCAGGGGGGCTGCATAGGCTGTCCTAGGTGCCACTCACCACCCTGCCCCGGCTCAAGCCTGCAGGGTGCGGCTCCAGCACCCGGCCGGCCCAGCAGCTAACGCAGAGCCTGAGAGGGCAGCTGAGTGGGGCTCAAGGCCTCTCTGACACAGGGTTCACCTCATCACTTCCGGGGGCTCCTCACACATGCTTATACCCGTGAGTGACACAGTGGCCCAGGATGGCCCCCTTCTAGAACAGGGCACTTTCTAAGGGAGGAGAACCATATGGCTGACAGGTGAGCAAGGGAAGAGGGGGGCAGTCACTCAGAGGAGACCTTGGAGGGCCTGGGGATACAGCAGGCAACCCTGAAGGCCCCAGCGCCACCTGGGCAGTGACCAGCCCTGGTCAGTCACACACACAGGGCTCCAAGCCCCTGTGAGCATCACAAGGGCATTTCTGTTTCTCCAAGATGGCTGGTTTGAGGGGACAGCCTGACCTGCATGGTAACTGCATGTAACTTAAACAATTCTAGGGTCTGCAAGGGGTAGGGGCCTCCTGAAGAAGTCATGTGGCACAGCGGGACCCAGCAGGATCAGCCACAGTGACATGGGGTACAGGGTCCAGCCTCCATGTTGGAGGGGATGGACGAGGCTGGGCCAGGTAGCCACTGAGCTCAGATGGGAGCCCCAGCCACACGCTTCACAAACCAGCAGACTCTGGGCTCTTTTGTTATTTTATGGGGAATGGAACCCCAGGGGATACAGCTCACACCCCCCTTCTCAGTGTGCACCAGGGACCAGACTAGGTACAAGCTTACTAGTCAGGTTCCAGCAACACCTCTGTCCTTGTTGCTGAGAAAAAGGAAAATTCCTCCCATAATCTCTTTAGGCAAATGGTGCTGGCCTCTCCTGGAAGCCAGCCCAGCAGGTGGACGTAGGCTCCCTAACCAGGGGAAACAGAGGACAGGGCACTCCCACACTCTTCCTGGGACCCCTGTGGGCTGCAGCCTCCCTACCCGGCCTCAGTGGGAAGGTGCCCCCCAGGTCGGGACAGGACCCTACCACCACGCACCCCATCTGCTCCCACCCAGCCCCTACCCCATTCTACCTGCTTGCGTGTGAAGTTCTTGTCAGGACCCAGGAGGTAGGGTGTGATGAAGCTCTCCCCTGGCCGCATCTGTGCCATGAAGCCATAGAAGCAGAGGTAGATCACCAGACATCTCCTAGACTTGAGCTCCGGGTCCAGCCCTGGCTCTGCGGGCTTCTGCTCCTCCACCGCCTGAGTGGCGGGCACCATGCTGCCCAAGGCCAGAAGGAGACACTGCCCCTGCAAGGATGGGCCAAGAGGGCTGCTCAGCAACAGCCCACGGCACCTCCCCAGCCTCGGCAGGCAGGGCACATCCCTGTCTCATAACCCACACCCACAGACAGGGCCCATGGGCCCTGGGTCTGAGAGCACCTGGCACCCGTAACCACCTGGCCAGCTGCCACACTGGGGCTGTGCAGTCCCATCCCATCACCACCAGCCATGTGGGGCTCCTTCAGTGCTGATTAACTAAAGCTGAACAGAGTTTGAAACCCAGCGTCCTGGGCACCCCAGGCTCATTCCAAGTGCTCCCAGCCGGTGGCTGTGGCTGCTGCGTTGGGCCCATGTGCCTCCCTGGGAGAGGTCTCAGGGACAGCCCATTCTGGTGCCTGGGGTCACAGTGCCCAGGCACACCACCCAGCTAGAGCCACTTGGTACCTCCTGGCCCCATGATGTCCAGAGGGTACAGGTGGAAGAGGACCTGGGGGGAAGCCAGGCATGTGCCCACCATGGCACAGGTGGTCAGCAAAGGTGGCTGGGAGCATGAACTGCAGCCCAAATGGCCACCCCATTGGCCACTGTGGGACCCCAAGCCCAAGACAGGCGCAGCAGATGGGGTTCACAGGTAAAGCTGCCAGTAGTGAAGAGGGCAAAGGAAGAGGTGGGCGTCTTCAGGGGGTGCAGCAAGGGGATCGGAGGGGCCAAGAGGGGCAGAGGGCGGTCTTGGGACCCCAGCACCGGGGATTCTGCTAAAGAGCAGCAGCTGGGAGTGCAGGTCATCAGGTGGGCCAGGCACACCTGGATAGCACATCCCAGACGACAGCCCCCCTCCATGAAGGGGACCTCAGGTGGGGCCTGCCCAGCCCATGTCCCCACCTGTAACGTCGATCAGTCAGTGAGAAGCCTGTTCCGTGTAAGGGGCCAGCACCCCCATCTCCACCCACTCGGAGCCTGTCTGACAGAGAGGCAGGGACTCCCATTTCCTCAGCTGCACAGTTACTCTGCCTTCACTTGATCACCACATCCCTATATGCCCAGTGATATTTTCTGTTCAAGACACTTCCATTTGAAGTGAGTCAAAAAGTGAGCAGCCACTAAACCAGGTCAGGGTGAAGAAGGAGCCGGGCTAAGCAGTACAGGGCACCGGAGGGCTTCATTCCCGAGGCCAAGGCTGGGTAGGGCTGCCCGGGGTGTAGGTGCTGCTGGTCTGCAGGCTGTCGGGACAAGTCCCTGCTCCTTACTGCTCAGCCTGTTTGGGGGGTTGGCTGAGGAGGGTCTGGATTTGTGGAAACATCCTCTCCAATGCCCAAGCAGAAGGCACAGAAAGTTCCCAAGACATGGGACCAGCTTTGGGGCCCAGAGACTCTGAGGAAAAGCTGCCCAGATTGCCAGCATGAGGTCCCCTGCATTCCAGCCGGTGTGAGGCTCAGAGACCATCCCAACAGGGGGTGCTCCCACACTCCTCTGGGGACCAGCATGAGGCCCGGGGTGGCCCAGAGACAGCAGGGGGGGGGACCCCCGAGGGTGGAGCATGGCCTCACGTGGGGCCTCTGGTCGTCCTCCCCAGGCCTGGGGCCTCGGCAACGGGAACTGTGGCCGGAGCTCTGCTTCCACCTCGGAGTCCTGTGCTGACCTGACTCAGGGAAAACGAGATCTCTCAGGAAGCCGGGCTGAGGTGCTTGTTTGGGGGCTACAGGGAAGGGCAGGGCAGGGGTGAGGGGCGGCTGCAGAACTCCAGAGTTTCAAAGGGAGAGGACCACGGGGCAACAGTGGCCTTAGGAGTTACTGGGACAGCCCCCCAGCATTCTCCAGGGACCAAGTGGAACTGGCCCTCCCCATTCCCAACCCTGGGAAAGAGCTGTGTGGAGACTGGAATTCAATTTCCTAAGCCCCGTGGAGCTCGACAACAGCTGGAAAGAGCAGGGCCTTCCCACAAGCAGACAGCTATTGGCCACAGGGTGGCCCACAAGCTGAGCCACCCACACTTGGAGTAAGTGCCCCAGACGCCCACCAGTGGGAGCACACCTCTCACACTCACCTCCCCACCCCTGGGCCAGGAGAGCAACTGCAGGCTTCTCCCCCAACCAAGCCCCCCATGTGGGCAAGCAGCCAGGAGCTCAAAGCGCCCTGGCTCCCAGGAGCTGGCCCACCCTGCCCACCCCCTGGGGCCCAGGAACCCCAGTACCTGCCCTCCTGTTCCGAAAGGTGTTATCTCCAGAAGCGACAGGAAGGGCCTCACCTGGCGTCCCCCGAATCCCAGGGTAGAAGCCTGAGACACCAGTGCCTGGCATGCTTCCCAGTTCCACATCCTGGATTCCCATGGCTTCCAAAACCAACAGGGGCTGCTTCTGACCCCACAGTGAGAGCCTCTGGGCCTCTCTGTGCAGCTCTCTCAAGGTCTGGGGCACCCACCCGGCATTAGCCCATAAGCCCAGGACTGGACATTAACACACGGCCAGGCCTGCAGGGGCAGGGTTGATGAGGTGCGTGGCCTTGGAATTCCTGTCGGTCTGGAGAACAGCCCCGTGTCCACATCCAGAGGTCCCATGTAGCACCACCCCACCTGAGCTCCAGGGCCACAGCACAGGGTGGACCAGCCTCCCTCCCGAGGGGTGGCCAGGCAAGCAGCCACCCCCCAGGAGACAGCCAGGGGGTGGGGAGGGTAGGAACGACGGGAATGCTCTGCTAGCAGCACTCACAGTGCCGCCTCAGGGAGAAACCCACAGGCTCTGGCCCTTTCCAGCCCAGCCCACCCTTGGGGCTGATATCATCAAGCACCTGACCTCACAGGCCACCCCCAGCTCCATCCCTGCAATCTGAGGACATGGCACTGTCCAGGATCCAAACTGCTGGGTGACAAATACCAGAGTCCCTTCCTTCCTCCTGAGCTGCTAACAGCTGGGACCGGATGAGGTAGGGGCCACCCCCAGCCACCGGGGAGCAGCCCAGGCTCCTGAACTCCTCGGGAGGGGAGCGCCAGTCCAGGCACTAAGCACCCACGTGTCCCCACAGCCCACATTGAGCTGGGGTGCTCGAGTCTCACATCTGGGGACCACACTCTTATTTGCTCTGGGCTTGCACCAGCTTTCCACCTGCTGACTCCACAGTTATGGGGCCAGGGGAGCATCCCACAACACTAGTGGGGTCCCTATAGGATGTGTGCCTTCTCACCAGAACACCCCCAGAAAGTGGGACCCACTCTCCAAGGACGTGGACGAAGATACCCACCTGGGCCAGGCTGCCACCTGTCTTAAGCACACATCCACTGCCCCATGACCCGCACAGGGACCCCCAAGCCCAGCCTCACCCCACTCTGTGCCAGGGGAGCAAAGTAAAGAGGCTGAGGAGCACACCAGACCCACAGACGCCCTGCAAAATGGCCACTTCCATTTCTCCTTCAGGCATTTGTCCTGAGTGTTCAAATGGCCACGCTTCCCAAGCATGCAAGCCCTCCTCCAGCACCAGGGTGGAGGTGTGGTCCTGGCCCTCCCCTTCACGAGCACCTCTGGGACTCCCGAGGTGAGAGAACCCGCTGCAGGCACACCCAGGCAGAGTGCGGGGGGGCGGGCAGGACACCTCCAGGCCAGGGCTGGGGGCAGTGCGGCAGTGCTGGCCCTTGAGTACCCTTGCAGGCTGAAATGCTGCCCACCGGCCTCACAGAAAGGCCAGGCAGGGCTGAGGTGGCACTCAGGCTGCAGCAGGGCCGCCAGCGACACCGTCTATCTGACTGCAGGGACTCCTTGGGGCCATAAGATGTGTGTCCACTTTGTGCATTTCCCACACCTGGCTCAGCACTGCTGCACACGCACTTTCAAAAACTTCTGCAACAGGTGGAGAGCTGCCAGCTCCAGTGCCCATGGGCTGGATGGCAGGGTGTCTGAGAAGTGAGCTGGGCAGAACAGGGCCATGGGGAGAAGCCTGGCTCCACCCCAGGAGCATGGCTGCCACACAGAACAGAGCCAAAATTCAGGGTCCTTCCAATCCGTTTTTAGTGCTGGCCACTCTGGGCAGATGTTGAACACGACAGGACCAACGCATGTTTGAGACGCAGTGGACTCGGCCCAGGGCACAGAGGCAGCTCAGGCCATTGGTTGGCATGTCTAGGGGGACAGGCCACTTGTACTGGGGCTGGGGTTCAAAGAACTGTGCAGACCCAGAAAACAGGAGTCCCAGCCCTAGTCCAGATGGGTCACCTGCCTTCAGTTTTATTCTGTCAGTTATTCAACACACGAGAGGCGGATTAGTCACCACCAGCACTCACAGGCCGGCCACCCAGCCATGCAGCCATGCCTCGGAGTCCTCCATCCCAATAGCAGACTATTCTAGGTGCGCAGGACCATTCAGCCTCACACTCCAGGACGGTAAAGTGGAAGGACGCAGCCGTGAAAACTGAGCACAGAAGGCAAACGAGGTGCCCAGGCTTGGGCAAGTGGGTGGCAGGTCTGGCCTGGACCCCAGGTGCCCTGATACCAACCCAAGCCTGTATAACCTCAGGCCTCTTAAGGGCAAAGGAAGTACCAGCCTGCCTGGAGGATCAAGGCAGAGGACCAAGGCCCCACGCATCGGCCTTCAGGAGGCTCTGACAGTCTGGGGTGGGGAGAGGGGACCACCTCCTAGGAAGGCTGCAGACCCAAGATGGAAACAGAAGCAAACCCCTCTCTCTCTTTTGTGTTAACCAGGTTAACGGGAGGAAGCTCATTACATTTTTTCAAACAGCTTTTAGAAAAAAAGAAGACCCTTGCACTCACCCCATATCAGAGGGCAGAGTTCTGTGCTCGGGTGAAGTTAACCCCATCACTGCCATAGACAACACACACAGGTGTAAAACGTCCATAGACAACACACACAGGTGTAAAACGTCCTGGAGGTGTTGGTCACCTTTGCCCAGCACAGATAATTAATATCTACGGTTATTAAAGTCCACCAAAGCCCCGTCTGAAAGAAAGCCAATGCAGGAGGATGCAAAGGCCAAGCGATGCCTTCCAGGCCAAGTGAGACGCCATCCGGGGGACTCTCCTGTGGGGGCACTGGGCTCCCAGACCAGCACAGGGAGGCAGTTCTGCTGGGCTGGTGAGTCCTGGTTCTGCTGATTTAACTGGGTTGCAGGGGGTCGCTCAGTCTCCCTTCTGCGGAGGGGCGCCTGACCACTTTTCTGCACAGCACCCAGCAGGCGGCTCCAAGGACTTTACCCACCTGCACTCGGGCAGCCTGGAAAACAGTGTCTAGATTCTGGACTATCTGACCTGCACTCTAACCAGCAGACCGGGCACCTCAGACGGTGAGGAAGGAACCCACACGGTGTGTGCCTGGGCCGCGCCCCTGGGGTCTCCAGGACAAGCCCTACGGTCGGGGACGCCTGGGAACTTTCCCACTTGTACAGACGTAGGACGGGACCACTAGGAAAGGACGGCGGTGCCCAGTCCGGGCTCCAGGACAGCCTCCCGCGGGGTCCGCTCCAGGCCGCTTCCAAAGGGAAGTCCTCTGGGAAGTCGTTCGGCACCTGCGGAGTTCCGGCCGGACGCCCACGGCGCCAGGGCCGGGGAGGGCATTCCCTTCCGGCCGTAGCGGCACGTGCGCAGCGGCACGTGTTCTGCGGCTCGGGGGGCCGGACCGCGGTCCCAGGAAGACGGGGCGAAGGCCGGGGCGAAGGCCGGGGCGCTGCTCTCAGCCGCCCGACAGGTGGCGAAGTGACCTGGCGCTGGCCCGGCGCGGCCCAGAGGGTGCGGGCGCGCCTGGGCCGAGGGGGAACAGCCGCGGAGAGCGGGCGAGCTCACGGCCCCCGCGAGGCGGCGGGAGGGAGCGCGCGCTGGGCCGGCCACCGCGGCGGGAGGCGGGTCCGTGCCACCGCCCAGCACGCAGCCCCGAGCCCACTCGCCGCACTCACCCCGAGACCCCGGTCTGCGCCGAGTACCTGGCCTGCGGCCGCCGCCTCTCCGTGCGCGCGCCCAGAAAGCCCGGCCGCCGACACCGCGGGGATAGCGTAGGCCAGGCCCCGCCCCGGGCCCCGCCCAAGGCCCCGCCCCGGGCCCGCGAGGACAGAGCGCACGCGTCGGCGCCCAGGGCCACCGCTCCGCGCCCCGCCCGCCCCGGGTCACACGGCCGTCTAGTGACGGGGGCTTGGCACCCCGGTGCGTCCACGCAGCCGGCCGCAGTCCCGACTGGACCCGGCCCCCAACACCCGTTCGCAGCCCCCACGGGAGCGGCCCTCTGACCGCCGCCCATGGCCTCAGGCCGCACAGTCCTCACTGGACCACCCCCTCATTGCCTCCACCCTCCACAGACCCCCTAGACGACCCCCGGCCCCCAGTGCACGACCTCTCCCAGTCCCCCGCGCCTACCAACGCGGTGCGCAGCCCTGGTCACAGCTCCCGAAGTCTGGGAGGAAGGCACCGCACGCCCCCCTGTCAGCTGTGACCGCCCCTTGGACGAGGGCCGGCCCCCGGCCCCCTGCCAACGCAAGAAGTGCTTGTGCTTTTCTTTGGCTCTTTTGAAAACATTCTTTCCTGTCTGACCCGAAAGCTCCGGCCAGGATGCTGGCCGCTGAGCAAGTCAGGACAGGACTGCTGGGAGTTGACAGAATTCCCCGCCCCCACACAGCCCCGCTGTGCGGTTCACCCTGACCCACTTTGGGTCTGGTGGCTGACTCTGGACACCAGCAAGGCTAAAACGCCTGCCCCTGGGGGTCACAGCAAGCGCCCCCACTACACAAGTGCCCAGTGCCTGGCTCCCAGTTGGTGCCTCCCTAGAATCCCCCAGTACGCCCTCCCACCGACCGTTAAGCAGCCAAGCTCCCTGCGGAGAAGCAGGAAGCTCCAGGGAGGCCAGTGTCCCAGGGCTACGCACCCCTAGACTCCCAGTAAGGAAGGTATAGCCAGGAGGGAAGCCGTTGCTGGCCGCACAGTGCACAGCCCGGCAGGTGTGGGCTGACGCGGGATGCGTGGGGAGGGGCCTGTGCAGGACAGCAGCCATTCTCCTAGACAGGCCTGGGGCCAAAGCCCACTGCCAGCCAGCGGAATGCAGGAGAGGCTGCCTTGGGGTGAATAGCTTCACCCCTCCTGGCGGTGGAAAAGCAGATTGTCGGGTGGGTGTACAAAGGCGAAGGAATGACCTGAGGTCTGGCTGGACAGAGCAGATGGGGAAGCATGCGCAAGGGACCTGGTGGCCTCTCGGTGGGATCCACGCCCAGGATGCAAACAGCAGGTCCCTGATGAGCAGTGCCAGGGCCTGGTGTGAGCACCTGCAGTCTCCCCGCCGATGCCGCTCCTCATGGCAGGCTGCCACCATTCCGTCTGAAAAGATGGCCTGGTGGCTGCTGGTCCAAGGAGGATGAGAGCCCTTAGAGAGAAGCAGGACCTCCCTGTACCCAGGGCCCACCTGGACAGGACAGGCCTGGGCCACCCTTGGATATGTGTCTGGGAAAGAACGCTTTTGCTGCCTGCTACTGAACTTGGGGTGTTTGTCACACAGCAGGAGAGGAAGGTGAAGGAAGGAGTCCGGATGGCCAGCCAGTAAAAGTCTTGAGAATTTAACCTGTCAGTCTTGAAAATAAAACAGCCAGTTTTGTTAACAGCAAAATAGGTTTATCTGGGAATGGCATCAGAATTGCAGTTCAGGACAAACAAATCCACAAGCGGAAGAAGAAGGCAGAGAAAGTATCTAAAGTGTCAGAGAGGAAAAGGGGGACTTGGGAAGGGCTGCTGAGAACGAAGCCCATTGGAGAGCAAGGGCGGGAAGGGGGAGCACTTCTCATTGGCTGGGCTGTGGTGGCTTCTCATTGGCTGGGCTGTTGCCAGGGTAGAGAAAAGCTTCCCTCCTGCTGCTGCAGAGAAAAGCTGCTGATTTCTGCGGGAATGCGAGCCTTCACACTGCAACAGGTGGGTGGGGTGCCTGGTTGGGTGACCTTTGCCCGTGAGGTCCTGGCACTGACTGCTCCTACTGGGACACCCAGAGCACTGGTCCAGCCTCACCAACTTGGGCTCAGGCCCTGAGGCTGCACAGGGTGCTCTGGTTCTAACCCAGGGTCAGGATACTCTGTCCGGAGGCTGACCCCGGCAGTCAGACTTGTCATCTGGACCTCAGCTCCTCCCATCTGTCATTCCCCCTCCCTAGGGAAGCCACTGTGTCCCCATGGCTGCCTTGTGGAGGTGTACTACCTTCGTAGAAAAAAGCAAGGTAAGGGACAGACCCAAGCGGAAAGTGTGCATGCAGGGCTGCGTCTCAGGTGGCCCAGCAACAGTGGGTGCTGCGCAGGCTTAATGCCAGAGAAAGTGGAAGAACGCAAGGTGAAAATAGAAACGGAAGGGGGAGCAGGCTGCGTTGCGGAAGCACACACTGGAGTTCTGCTAGTCACAGTATCACACTGAAGTATGGAGATAAAGTCTCAGCTACGCAAGGAGAATGTGGCCACACACAGACAAGGAGGGGCTTCCACTCTCGTGGCAAAACTGGACAGATCACACGAAGTACATGGAGGTGGTATTAATGACATTAATTCCACTGTTAGCAATTTCTATTTTATTTTTAAAAAGAAACAACAGGCTTCAAAAGCAGCTCTTTCTGTCAAGCACCACCAAGACTTAATACCTTCCTAATTGCAGTTTCAGCTTCTCTCAGGGGTGGAATTTTAAGTCAGTCTGGCATTTTCTGGTCGGCACTAATCTGCCCAATAAGGTGAAAGGTCATCTGCCTGATATACTCTCTTCCTGCTATGGGAAGGTCACCTTGCCTTAAATAACGCCTCCTTTAACTGCCTTGTCCCACCCCATTCCTACAAAAACCTTCCATTCTGAAGACTCCTAGGAGCTCCCTTCCTCTTGCTGGATGGGATGCTTCTCTATTCACGTATTGTTGAATACAGCCAATTAGATCTTCAAATTTACTCATTTGAATTATTTTAACATTTTTTATACATAATGCAGAATACATAGAGAGAATACACATTTTTTTCTAAAATCTCATGAGGAACTTTAAGAGATGATCCAAAACCAAGCAGCAAATCAAAGCTGAAAACAGTCTCAAAAAATGAAAAATCACTTATGCCACATTCTTAAATCTTAACTCTATAAAACTAAATATCAATGAAAAAGAAATGGTGCAATCAAACCTGGCCAGTAGGTGATCTCCTGTCATCCCTCCTCACGAAACATGGGCCAACGAGAAAATCAGAACTGACATGGTTCCTGTGTATAGACTGCTGGCAGCAGCTGTGGGTTACAGACAGACCCTGGGGGGGCCTGCAGACACCTGGGAGGCTCACCAAAGGCCCTCAGGGAAGAATCCACTGTAGAATGATTTTTAAATTTCTTGGTTTTACTATTAAAATTAAGAAACATAGCAGTGAGTGCAGATATTAGAACAGAAAAAGATCAACACCATGAACAAAAGAAAGTAAAAAATAGAATGAAGTAATGGGGAGAAAAGCAGAAATTCGCTAACTGGAAACAAATAAGGTTGACTTTTTAAGCCAAAAGATAGTTCCTCAAAAGAAAAAAAAAGGAAAAACATCAGAGAGAATGCTCCGGGCAATCTGACCGCGAAGCCATTGAAGGAGACGTCCACGACAAGGCATCCACAGCCAGGGCGGCAGGGCCGGGAGGTGGGCGGAGGAGCCCGGGCCCGGGGGTGGCAGGGGAGACAGCACCGGCGTCACATGGGGGCCCTGTGCCCTGAGCCCAGGGAGGAGGGTGAGCAGGTGCAGGTAGGCGAGGCTGGCAGGCCGGGCTCCTGGGGCCCGGAGAGACTTGGTCCACACAGAGGGCCTCCTGGCCCGTCGCCCTATTCCCACTCTGCGTTCAAGACGAGACCAGATCTTGGTTTTTGAAACTTGGCAAAATAAATTTTGAAGTTCATTTATAAAACGAAATGGGGCAAAATAGGCAAGGAAATTCCAACAACAGTCCACCCTCCACATCTGGAAAATCTCTGTTAGGCTGCAGCGATTTCCATAGCAGCATCCGAAGTGCCAGGGCTCTTGGCTGCCCCTGGGGCTGGGGGCAGGGGGAGGGGTCCCCACGGGAGTAGGGGCATGTGAAGGCGCGCAGGGACCCGGGAGCCATGAGTGTGCCCCAGCCGCGGCATGTGGGACTGCTTCCCGCCACGAGGCCGCAGGCACTGTGTCCGACCTGTGGCCAAGGCCAGGGCGACCCAGTGGCTTCCCCTCCTCTCGGCCCCTTGTTCTCTGGACCCCCTGCTTCACAACCCTCTTCTCCAGTGTGATGCCTGTGCCCCCTCAACCAGCTGAGACCGGACTCCCAGCACATAGGGTAGGGTATGGCCTGCTGGCGGGGCTACCTGCTTTCAACCTGCCCTTGGCCTTGACCCACTTAGAGCAGTGCAGGCTTTTAAAAAATCAATTTTACTGAGATGCAATTCACATGCAATAAATTGCACCATTGGTTATCTGTGGCCCATACTTTCTGACAACATACCCTTCACTTCACAGCACCCACTGACCCAGAGAGACCCCCACCCTCCCGGCTGCCCCAGGCCCAGCCTCTGTCAGCCGGGAGCTGCTTCCCGCTGGGCCAGCAGGGAGCTTGCTTGAGGGGCTCTGGGGTCCACTCAGCAGTTCTGTCCTTTTTCCTCAGAGTTCCATTGCATGGATGCAGCACCTGTGTTTATCCTTCATTCCCCAGAGGGCATTTGGGTGTTGCCAGTTTTAGCAATTATATGTAAAAATGCTGCAAACATTTGAGGGCAAGTTTCTGTGTGGCCCTGAGCTTCCTCTTCTCCTGAGTATTTGCCGCCCACTCAGGTGCCCTGGCTTCCCCAGGTAGACTCCTGGCACGTTCGCCTCCTTGACAACACTCAGTATTGGCAGCTCTTCCAACCTTCACCTTCCCGGTGGGAGCGACTCTCGAACCAACCTCTGGGTGATGAGTGGCCAAGTCCTCATGTGCCAT